TTCTGGGCCCCTTGTATCTCCTTTTCTTTCTGCTTTTTTTCCTCTTTTTGTTTTTGTTTTATTTTGGTTTTTCTTTTCTGTCTCATTGTCTTTTTTGTCTCTTTCACTTTTATCCGTTTATTTCTCTTTTGATTCATTTCTCTTTTCCTTTTCTCTTTTGTCATTTCCAATTTTTTCTTTTTGCTTTTTTCTCTCTGGCGGCCGATTTCACCTTGCTGCTGCTCCCTGCTGCTTCCCTTTGCTGCTGCTGCTGCTGCTGCTGCTGCTGCTGCTGCCTCCGTTCTGCAGCGCGTTGTTTGCTTCCCCTCAAATCCCCTGCTGCTGCTGCTGCTGCTGCCCTTTGCCACCGGTCCCCCCGCCGCCGCAGCAGCCGAACCTGCTCTTCCCCACCGCTGCCGCCGCCGCCGCTGCTGCTGCTGCTGCTGCTGCTGCTGCTGCAGGGAGTACATAAAGTTGTACCTGCGGGAGCTGCTGCAGACGGTGACGGAGCTGATGACGGGGAACTATGTGATAATTCGCCTCCCCAGAGGCGGCGCTGCTTTCTTGGAACACTTCGGAGGCACTCTCGCGGACAACTTGGAAGCGGGACACAAACTCTGCTGCGAGCTTTTTCCCGATCCCGAACAATACGATCCCAAGTTCCTCGCCGCCACCAGAGTCCGCAGACACCCCGCGCCCCACACTGACACCCCACACATACACCCCACACCCCACACATACACCCCACACCCCACACATACACCCCACACCCCACAGACACCCCACACATACACCCCACGCCCCACACGTACACCCCACGCCCCACACGTACACCCCACACAGACACCCCACACGTACACCCCACGCCCCACACGTACACCCCACACAGACAGCTCAGGCACTGCATGCAGACACCCCACACACTGCATGCGGACACCCCACGCACTGCATGCAGACACCCCACGCACCGCATGCAGACACCCCACGCCCCACGCGTACACCACACACCCCACACGTACACCCCACGCCCCACATGCAGACACCCCACACCCCACATGCAGACACCTCACACCCCACAAATGCGCAGACTAGCTGTACAGACACCCCACACCCCGCATGCAGACACCACACACCCCACAGCTGCGTGCGCTGGCTGTGCAGACACCCCACACCCCACAGGCAGACACCCCAGGCCCCGCAAATGCGTGGACTAGCTGTACAGACACCCCACATGCAGACACCCCACACCCCACAACTGCGTACACTAGCTGTACAGACACCTCACGCGTATACACCCCACATTTATTATGCGGCAAGTGTCTGTACACCCCACACCTAAACACCCCACATTTAGACACCCCACACGCATCCACTGGAGCTCTTCAAAGGGACCTCTCCTTTTCGAGGGATTGGGGTTTAGGGTTTCGGGCTTAGGGCTTAGGGTTTAGGGTTTAGGGTTTAGGGTTTAGGGCTGCATACACTGCAGGGGTCCCGAACACCCCACGTGCGAGCATGCGCGTGGGGTGTATAAGCTCTTTGTGTTTGTCTTTGTCTTCAGAAAAAGGCAGAAGAGTATTTTGAGCGTTTAAAACAAGAAGTCAGTTTTATTATTATCTATTTATTTACTTATTTGTTTGTTTGTTTATTAGCTTTTTGTCTCCTTTTCATTTTTCTTCTTATCTTTTCCTGTCTTCATTTCGCATTCGGTCTTTTGCCTTTTGTCTCTCTTTGTGTCTTTTGCTTCTTTTCTCTGCAGTTTCATTTGTCTCTTTCTTCTTCCTATTTTTCTTTTTTTCCATCTTTTATTTTTTGTTTCCTTTTGCTTCCTTTTTGTTTCTTTTCGCCCCTTTTTTTCCCTTTTTTCCTGCATTTGCTGCCGTTATTATTATCGCTTACTCCACCTTTGCTGCTTCAGCTGCTGCTGCTGCTACTGTGCTGCTGCTACTGCTGCTGCTGCTGCTGCATCCACCTCTGCTGCTGCTGCTGCTGCTGTTGCTGCTGCTACCTGTGCTGCTTCCCCCCCTGCATCTGCACCCCCTGTACCCCCCGTCACCTCCCGAACACCTCCGCCGCCGCCGCCGCCGCCGCCGCCGCCGCTGCTGCTGCTGCTGCTGCTGCTGCTGCTGCTGCAGGCGGAGAGCGTGCATGCGCCTGGGGGCCTCGGGGGCCGCGTGGTGACGCAGCCGGGGCAGCTGGTTCGGTACACTCTTTCGAAAGATGACACAAACATGTTTGGCTTAGTGCAGGCAGTGTCAGCAGCTGTCGATACACCCGACAGCAGCAGCCGCAAAGTCGAAGACAACTCCGACAGCAAAACCCCCAGCAGAGACGCCCTCGTCACCTTCTACTTCCGCAGCCCCCAGGCCCTCGTGAGTCCTCCACGCATGCACGCATGCATGCGTGCATGCACGCACGCATGCATGCATGCATACATGCGTGCGTGCATGCATGCATGCATGCGTGCATGTGTGCATGTTTGCATGCATGAAGACAGGCGTGCATTCACGTAGGCGGGCAGACAGGCAGCCCTGCATGCATGCATGCATGCATGCAGGGCTGCATGCATGCAGGGCTGCATGCAGCGTATTGGAGCGCTTGGTTGAGCGGGGCTTGTCGCTGCGTCTTTTAATTCTCTGTTCATGTTTGTTTTTCGCGTCACTTTCGGACATATTTGTATCTATATTTAAATCTATATTTGTATTCATATTTGTGCTTATACATTTGTGTTTTTATTCTTTTATTTATATTTGCATTTATTTGCACTTGTTCATTAACTTGATGCATGCATGCACATGCAAAGTGCGCGCAGCACGAGGTTTACGTACACCTGAACCACGCAAGTGTCACGGCTTCTGCATTTGCAGAATTCCATTTTTTTCTCGATTTCATCTGAGTTTCTGCTCGTGCAAGCAGCAGCAGCAGCAGCAGCACAAGGAACAGCAGCAGCAGCAGCAGCAGCAAAGACAGCAGCTTGTTTTGTGTTTTATATTGCATGCGCAGGCGGAACAGACTCAGTCTAAGAGCGTCGACAGGCAGCGACTAACTGTTATTTTGTCTTTACAAACGGTATCTCCGCTGCTGCTGCTGCTGCTGCTGCTGGCTGCGCACACTGTGGAGTGCTGCTGCAGCTGCTGCGCTGCTTTTGCAGCTCCGGTCTCTCTCCGTGCTGCTGCGAGAGCCGGCACTGCCGCTGCTGCTGCTGCTGCTGCTGCTGCTATTGCCTGCATCCCTGCAGCTCGCGCCCCCCCATGCCACCGCTGCTGCTGCTGCTGCTGCTGCTGCTGCTGCTGCTGCTGCTGCAGCTGGTGCACCCGAAGAACATCCCCCCCTCGGGCTACCGCTGCTGGCAGCGAGTCTTCAGGCCCGACGGCTGGATTGGTTTGCAGCCAGTTGAGATATCTTCAGTTTCTGTGGAGGCAGCAAATGCAGACCAAGGTGGGTATTTTTTCTCCTTTTTTTTCTTTTTTGGATCTTTTTTTCCTCCTTTTTCTCCCTTTTTGTCTCTTCTTTCGTCTCCTTGTTTGCCGCCTTCTTGTCTCCTTTTTCTGTCTTTTCTGTTTTTTTGGCGCGCTTTTATCTTTTCTTCGAGCCCTTTTGTCTGACTCTTTGGGCCATTTTGTTTTCCTTTTTCTCTCCTCTTTGAGCCTTTTTCTTGTTGCTCCTGTGGCCCTCTGTCTCTTTCCCCCTTTTTAATCTCATTTCCTTCATGCATGCATGCATCCATGCATGCATACTTGCATGCATGCATCCATGTATGCATCCATGCATGCATATTTGCGTGCATGCATCAATGCATGCATATCTGCCTGCCTACCTGCCTCCATGCATGCGTATTTGCATGCATGGGTGCATGCATGCACATCTGCATGCATGCGCGGGTGCCTCGCTGCCTGCCTGCGTATGTGCATCCCTCCACGCATGCATGCAAGCGTGCATGCATGCACATTTGCATGCGCGGCTGCATGCATGCAAGCGTGCATGCATGCACATTTGCATGCGCGGCTGCATGCATGCATGCATGCAGGCGATGGGGCTGGGGCTTTGTACAAGGGGCATGCAGTGATTCACCCGCTGCTGGGCCCCGACCTGGACAGCCCCCCTAACGAAGGGGCCCCTGAGGAGTCTGTGGGCCTCGACGAGCTCTTCATGGACGCCGTGGGCGATAGTGACAAGCAGCGTGAGGGTTTAGGGTTTAGGGTTTAGGGTTTAGGGTTTGGGGCTTGGGGCTGCGTGGGGCTTCCAGGGCTCAGGGCTCGGGCCTTGAGCGCGCAGCCCTCAGCCCGTGGCCTCGGGCGGGCTCCCAGGCCCACGCCCAGGATTAGGGTTTAGGGTTTAGGGTTTAGGGTTTAGGGTTTAGGGTTTGTGGGCAGCTGCGCGGGACGCGGAGTTTTCTCTGAGTCAGAAGGTGGCGGGGGAGTTTGCAGATGTGCGGCTTCTCAATCAACTTTCAGTGACGCATTTATGTCGGTGGCTGAAGTTCCACATTTCCATTTTGGAACCCGACAGAAGATTCACCAAAAACGTCCTTCTCCAGGTCAGCCCCCAGCTAGCTAGCTAGCTAGCTAGCTGGCTGGCTAGCTGGCTGGCTGGCTAGCTGGCTGGCTAGCTGGCTAGCTGGCTAGCTGGCTGGCTGGCTGGCGGGCTGGCTGGCTGATCAGTTGGCTGGTTGGTTGGCTAGCTAGCTAGCTAGCTAGCCAGCTCGACAGCCAGCTAGCTTGCCATCCAGCCAGCTAGCCAGCCTGCCAGCTAGCCAGTCAGTCAGTTAAGTAGCTAGCCAGCTAGCTAGCCAGCTACCCCTCCAGCTAGCCAAATAGCTAGCCGTCCAGCTGGCCAGCCACCTAGCTAGCCAGCTAGCTCCGCTTCCAGCTAGCCAGCCGGCTAGCTAGCCAGCTACCCATCCAGCTAGCCAGCTAGCTAGCCAGCTAGCCACCCAGCTAACGATCCAGCTAGCCAGCTAGCTACCCGTCCAGCTAGCGACCCAGCTAGCCAGCTAGCCAGCCAGCTAGCTAGCTAGCTAGCTAGCTAGCTGGGCGCGTGCGGGCAGATGATGCGGGCGGTGCGGCACGTGGTGGACAAGGCGGACTGGGAGCCGCTGGTGGCCGACCTGCTGCAGTCCAACGTGCGGGGCTGCATGCTGCACTTAGTGCGGCTAGCTGCATGCGCTGCTGCATGCGCTTTGCGGCGGATTCTGGTGGCAGCAGCAGCAGAAATCAAAAGACAAGTTGCTGCGGGAGACCTGACCACTGGTCTCAAGTTCCTCGCCCAAAACCCCAGGTTCCTCGACGAGCTCGACCAGGCCCTCGACGACTACTGCAGGCAACGCCAAACCCTAAACCCTAAACCCTAAACCCTCGCGCGCCCCCGCGCGCCTCTCCCCACCTGCTGCCCCTCGCGCCCGAGGCTCCGCGGCCTCCGGCCGAGGGTTTAGGCTCCAGGGTCCAGGGTCTACGGTTTGGGCTGTAGGGCCTGGGGTCTAGGGTTTAGGGTTTAGGGTTTGGGGTTTAGGGTTTAGGGTTTGGGGCTGCAGGACGAAGGCGAAGTTGTGCGCTGCGACAATGCGGGACTTGATTTTCGAGCAAACGCATGCACTTCATTTCGAAACCATCGAAGACCTCTTTGACGGCTGCAGGCAATTCGAAAAGGACTTCTTGGGCAGTCCGTTCTCTTTTTTGGCTTTTTTCCTTCTTTTTTGGCTTTTTTCCTCTTTTTTCCGCTTTTTGGGCTCCTTTTGTTCCTTTTTATTTGCGTATTTTGTTTCTTTGTTTGCTTCTTTTTGTTCCTTTTCGGTTGCACCTTTTGGCTCTTTTTGGGCTCTTCTCGTCCCGTTTTATTTGCATCTTTTGTCCCTTTTTTGCTTCTTTTTGTCCCGTTTTTTGCTCCGTTTGTCTTCTTTTTTGCTTCTTTCTGTTCCTTTTCATTTGCTTCTTTTGTTTCTTTGTTTGCTTCTTTTTGTTCCTTTTCGTTTGCATCTCTTGTTTCTTTGTTTGTTCCTTTTTGTTTGCATCTTTTGGCTCCTTTTGGGCTCTTTTTGTCCGTCCTTTTATCCCTTTTGCTCTTTTTTATTTTCATCTTTTGTGTCTCTATTCGTTGTCTTTTTTTATCTTTTTATTTATCTCGTTTCTGTCTCTTTATTTGTCTCTTTTTGTCTTCTTTTTGCCTTCTCCTCTTTTTGTTTTTCTTTTTCGGTCCCTCGTGCCTTCCTTTCATCTCCTTTGCTGCTGCTGCTGCTGCTGCTTTTGCTGCTGCAGCGGCCCTTTTGCTACTGAAGTTTCTGCTGCAGTTGTCTCCTTTTTGCTGCTCGGGTGTCTCGAGTGTCTCCTTTTGGTGTTGCAGCTTCTGGGGTGTCTCTGCAGCTTTTCGGGTGTCTTGGCAGCTCGTGCGGTGTCTGTACACCTCGTGGGGTGTCTGTGGCTCTTTGCTGCTGCCTCTTTGTCTCTTTTTAATTTCACTTTTCCCTTTTGTGTCTCCTTTTGCTGCTCCCCAACTCATCCTCGTGTCTGCTGCTGCTGTTGCTGCCTCTGCTGCTGCTGCCTCTGCTGCTGCTGCTACCTCCGCTGCTGCTCCTGCCTATGCCACTGCCTCCGCTGCTACTTCTGCTGCTTCGCTGCCGCTGCCGCCTCTGCTGCTGCCGCTACCTCCGCTGCTGCTGCTGCTGCTGCTGCTGCTGCTGCTGCTGCTGCTGCAGGCGGCGCCATGGAGGAAATATCGAAGACAGTGAGGTCCACAATGCTGCGGCGGAAGCAGCGGCTGGGCATTGCTGATGTTTATTCCAGGGGCGGAGGCCCGGGAGACCCCCACGACCTTATCTATGAGGAGGCAAGCTGCTGCTGCTGCTGCTGCTGCTGCTGCTGCTACTGCTGGTTATGCTGCGGCAGGTGGTTATGCTGCTGATTATGCTGCTGCTGCTGATTACGCTGCTGCTGCTGATCGTGCTGCTGAGTATGCTGCTGCTGCTGATTGTGCTGCTGAGTATGCTGTTGCTGCTGACTGTGCTGCTGAGTATGCTGCTGCTGCTGATTATGTTGCTGAACATGCTGCTGCTGCTGATTATGCTGCCGCTGCTGATTGTGCGGCGGCTTACGCTGCTGCTGGATCTTGCGGATGTTGTTGCGGCAGCTGTTGCTGCTGCTCAGTCTTGCGGGGGTTGCTGCTGCAGCTGCTGCTGTTGTGGCTCTCGCTGCTGCTGCTACTGTTGGAGTAGCTGTCTCTGCTGCTGCTGGTGCTGCTGCTGTTGCTGCTGCTGCTGGTGCTGCTGCTGTTGCTGCTGCTGCTGCTGCTGCATGCGCTGGTGCTGCTGCAGCCAACTGCTCTCCAGTGTTTGTTGGGGTGTCTGTACACCTCAGGTGCGGGTGCAGTTTTGGGCTGTCAAGATTCTGCTGGCGACGCCGCTGACAACAAAGTTATATATGCATTTCATTAAAGACATTAAAGACAAAAGCATGGTAAGCAGCAGCAGCAGCAGGGGTAGCAGCAGCAGCAGCAGCAGCAGCAGGGGCAGCAGCAGCAGCAGCAGCAGCAGGGGTAGCAGCAGCGACAGCAGCGATGAGCGCTTTCTTTGCTGTAGCGGCGGTCTGTTCTTCTGCTGCCCTTCATGCTTCTTCTGTCGGTGCTGCTGCTGCTTCTCTTCGTGCTGCTGCCGCTGCTGTTCCTGCTGCTGCTGCTGTTCCTGCTGCTGCTGCAGCTAGCTGCGGCTGCAGCTGCAGCTGGTGGGCCAGTAGCTCTCTGGGCTATCAAGCCTCTTCTTTTTCTTTTTGTTTCCAAAAAGCATTTCCGTCTTTCTTATTTTTTGTTTTTTTCCTTTTTTTATTTCCTTTTTATTCTTCTTGTCTCTTTTTTACTCTTTTTGTTTCTTTTTTATTTTTGTCTCTTTTTTATCTTCTGTTATCTCTTTTTTGTTTTTTTCTATTCTTTTTTGTTTCCTTTTCATCTCTTTTTTTGCGGTTTGCTGCAGTGCAGCGCAGCAGCAGCGTGTGGGGGGTGGGGTTGTTGTCATGGAATTAAAGAAAATGAAATAAATAAAAATTAAAATCTTTTAAATCCAAAGGGGACTTTCTGGGGTTTGTTCTTAAAAGCCTAAAGTTCATTTGTTTAAAATTTGGCCATTTTGCACTTATACATACCACTTTGCCGCTGCTGCTGCTGCTGCTGCTGTTGCTGCTGCTGCTGCTGCTGCAGCACCTGGCCTCTGAGGGTAAGTTTTCCATAATGTGCGAAAGCGAATTGGAGAAGACGCTGCAGCAGCACATCCTCTCGGAGCGTTCCTCAGCAGGTAAGTCTTTTCTTTTTTGTTTGTTTTATTTTTTATTTTCTCTAATCCCTTTTTTATCTTTTTTGCTTTCCTTTTCTCCTTTTTTGTCTTTTTTGTCTCCTGGTTTGTCTATGCGTTTATTTCTTCTATTTGTCGCTTTCGTGTAGCTGCAGCGTGCTGCAGTTGTCTCCTGTTATGCGCCGGGAGATTCTGCTGCTGATTCTGCCGCTGCTGCTGCTGCTGCTGCTGCTTCTTGCTGCTGCTGTTTGTCGGCGCTTCTTCAGCTACAGCTCCCTCTAGCTGCTGCTTGCTACTGCTGCTGCTGCTTGCTACCGTTTGCTGCTGCTTGCTACTGCTTGCTGCTGCCGTTGCTGCTGCTGCTCGCTGCTGCTGGTGGGTGGGCTTGGGACAGCAGCAGCAGCAGCAGGGTGGGGTTTTTGCTGCTGCAGCTCGGCTAATTCCCCGCAGCGACGGGGACTTGATGGAGCACTTCAACTTGAAGCTGAACACGGAGCAGCTGCTTAGCTCGGTCATGGCTGTGAGCCTTCTTTTGCTGCTGCTGCTGCTGCTGCTGCTGTTGCTACTGCTGCTGCTGCTGTTGTTGCTGCTGTTGCTGTCTCCCTTATCTTAGTTCATGTCTCCTGGTCTCCTTCACTCCTTCCCACTTGCACCTGCTAGACGCACCTGCCTCCTGCCTGCTTTCTGCACTTATCCTTGCTGCTGATGCAGCAGCAACAGCAGCAGCAGCAGCAGCAGCAGCAGCAAAGGGGTGGGGTTGTTGTTTTGGCTGCAGGCCCGGCGAACTGAAGAATATGTGAAGCTGGCGCTGGAGGGCGTGGCCAAATTGAGGGCCCAAATTCAGCAGCAAGGAGGAGTGGACTTTTTGACCCGTTTGGAGTTGGACTCGAGGGGCCCCCCGCAGCAGCAGGGGGGCCCCCCGCAGCAGCAGGGGACCCAGGGGGGCCCCCCGCAGCAGCAGGGGGTCCCCCCCGAGACCCCCTACCGCGACGCCCTCCCAGGGGGCCCCTACCCCGACAAAAGACTTAACAACATCCACCAGGGGGCCCCCCATTTGCCAGCGAGCCACCAAGGCACAGCAGACGGCCTCTGAGGGCCCGGGGGCCCCTGGGGGCCCAGGGGGCCCCCGGGGGTTCAGGGGGCCCCCGGGGGCCCTCAGGGCTGCCAGGGGGCCTCTGGGGGCCCCCTTGAGGGCCCCACGGGGCCCCCCAGAGGCGTTCTTTATGATTATCCCTGCAGGGCCTCTTTGAAGCCCCAAAGGGGGCCCCTGAAGGCCTCAGAGGACTCTGTTGGGTCTCAAAAGGAGACCCTTTCAAGGCCCTGGGGGACCCCGTAGGGGCCCCCCAGGAGGTTCCTGGAGAGCTCAGGGGGCCCTTTAGGGTCTTCAGGCCCCCGAGGCCCCTGAGGCCCCCTCAGGGGCCCCATGGGGGCCCTTTATCGTCTTTTTGAGGCTTTAGGGGCCCTCCTTGGGCCTCTCAAGGCCGCCGTACGGTCCCAGGGGGCCCCCTGAGGGCCCCTGGTCCTCTGAGTTCCAAAGGGCCCCCTAGGAAGCCCTGAAAGGCCCCGTGGAGGCCCCTTTTGGGGCCCCTGGGGGCCCTCGGGGGCCCTTTTTGGGGACCCTTTCAGGGCCCCTAGGGGCCCCCAGGGGCCCCTAGGGGCCCCTTTTGGCCCTTGGGGGGCCCCCCGGGCGCATGCAAGCCTAGGCGGCTTGCTGGGGACAAAGCGCGTATAGGGCTGAGTCTCAATAGGGCCTTCAATTAGCAAGAAAGACTTTAGAGACAAAAAGAAACGAATAGAGAAAAAGAAATAAAGAAACAAATAGAAAAGAAATAAAGGAACAAATAGAAAAAAAGAAATAAAAGAAACAAACAGAAAAGAAATAAAAGAAACAAATAGAAAAAAAGAAATGAAAGAAGCAAGTGGAAAAGAAATAAAAGAAACAAATAGAAAAGAAATAAGAGAAACAAATAGAAGAGGAATAAAAGAAACAAATGGGAAAAATAAATAGAAGGAACAAATAGGGAAAAAATAAAAGAAACAAATAGACAAGAGGAGAAATGAAAGAAACAAATGGAAAAGAAATAAAAGAAACACATAGACGAAAAAGGAACAAATAGACAAAAAAAGGAATAAAAAGGAACAAATAGACAAAAAAGGAAACAAAGAGAAACAAATAGATAAAAATAAAAATAAATAGACAAGAAACAAATAGACAAGAAAGCAGATAGGCAAAAGAATTGGAAAACAGAAGAGGCCTCAGCAGCAGCAAGAGGGGCCCCTAGCAGCAGCAAGAGGGGCCCCTTTTGCTGCTTCCAGGGGCCCCTTTTGCTGCTGCTAGGGGCCCCTTTTGCTGCAGAATTTAGAAAATGGAGTTCTTTTGAGGACAGATATAAAAAAGGGAACGTCTTTGTGGCTCTGCAGCTCCGTGTGGGTTAAAGAATGAGGTGTCTGTACACCCCAGCTGTCTCAGGTGTACGTACACCTCAGCTATCCGTACACCTCAGGTGTCTGTCCACTCCAGCTGCGTGTACACCTCAGGTTTCTGTACACTTCAGCTGTACATGCATCTCAGGTGTACGTACACTTCAGCTGTATGTACACCTCAGGAG